AAAACCTAAGTTTTGCATCTCGAATTAATCAATGACTATAATACGAAATGGCTTTTCCTTTTTTTTTTAATTTTGCATACAACTTACATGGAAAGAAACTTTATTATTCTAGTTTAGCAGAATATGTAAAATTATCACAGAAATAAATGTTTTTTTGTGTTATTTTCTCAAACTTGTATATTTCCAGCTATTTTTGTTTTCTATCTGCTTTTGAAATTTAACATAATCCACCATGGCAGCATGACCGATTTACTAATTTTTTTCTAAATACAGAAGGCTTTAGTTGTTTACAGTGCAATTTAATTTGCACCAATACAAATGCATGAGAGTGCAAATAAGAAAAGCACAAACAAACAAAGAACCTGATAATATGTAACCTCTAAGAAAACAAATTAGGATTTGCTTCTCAATAAGAGGTTAGCACATCTTCTTCTTCTTCTCTCTCTCTCTCTCTTACAGGTCCAAATATTGCTTGGTAGGGTTTAATGAGTACATATGCAAGCCATGTGAGGTTTAGAATTCTATGAATCTATGCTTCTCATTCACTATTTGTGGCTTCTGAATTTTCTAATATCTTAATATCTTACCAAGTTGTATGAATTTCTTGGATCATTCATATAAGAAAATTGAAATGTTAAGTTTCTTTCAATTTTTTTTTTTTTAAATAAATAGTTTTGGCCCAGTCCATGGCTCAGTCCACAGCACGGCACGGGCCTACACAGACTTGGGCCGTGGGACGTGCCAGGCCAACCCCTAAGTTATCCCAGGGGAGGGTGGCACGACACAATCTGCACTTTATGTGGACCCAACACGGCACATTTTACACCTCTAACCCTTATATTATTATTTTGATTGATAAAAAAATGAATGAGAATGAAATTTGTAACCAAACAGGTTAAAATTTTACTCTCATTCTTGCCGTAAAAAAAAAAAATCATTTTTTGGGAAAAAAACATTTAGTTCGTAACAATATTTTATCATTCTTCCCATTTTTACTCATTTTTTTCCATCTTAGAATTTTATCTTAGGTAAGAATGAGAATTAAACCAAACATGGCCTAAATCTTTGCTTGAAGAAAGAGGTGTAGCAATTGATAAAGAATGTGTTGTTCGTAGATTTGTTGATGAAAACAAGTATGGTGGATTGTTGTGAAACAATTCAAACTCTAACAGATGATGGCAGAATCATCTTGAGGAAAATAAAATTTACAAAGTCTGGCCTTTTACTAGGAAAATTTTGTTTTCTCACTATGGTATGTATGGAAGAACAAATGTAAAAAGAAAAATCATTAGTCTCGAGGGAACTATTAAAATTAACTTTGATGCTTCTTCAAAAGTGAATGGTTTTTATTCTTTGAACGTGACTCCAAATTGATGATTGACGTATTCTTGAAAGAGATCAATCACCATGGAGTTGTAAAGCCCCTTAATCGGAGAGTATCAAAGACTAGTTAAAGTCAATCACAATCACATTGCTTACTCGTATTTGTGGAGAGAAGAAAATCAAGCAGCCAATTGGCCTGTTAGCAAGTTTGCATTAGATGGTGAATTTGGATTTAGTTTACAATTTCCCTTGGGAAACTAATATTTTCTCAAAGCAATTAATTATAAAATTTCACTCCCCCGTCTAAATAAACCTTTGCTTTTGAACTTTTCTCTGTGAAAAACCCAAGTATACTCCGCTCCCCCGTCAAAACACAGACATTGCCTTGGGATATGATGCCAAAGCACCCATTCGAGCCCTATAATTCAGCATGCATATCAATCAAAGAACTTCTAAACCCCAAAATACAAAGCCCATTCTACACACACATACATACAAAATCAAAGAAAGGTTTTGAACTATTTTCACTAATGGGCAAAACTGGCACACCAGTCATCTGATGCTACGTGGATATCTAATGCCACTTTGGCTACCTCAGGATCTTAAGGAACATCAAGTTGGGGTTCACTCGTCAATAGGACAGACTCGTGCAGCCTAGGCACTCGATCAGTTCTCCGACTTCACAAAGCTGACCTGCTTCATCCGACTGTGGAATACTTTACAGACCATTTAATGCCTCCGAGATCGTCGTAGGCATGCCACGCATCTCGGATGTGCTCTGATCACTCCCCGGAGCCTATAAAAGGTAGCCCTTCACCTCCGCAAGGTATGCTTTTTCAGGTACAAAACTTCTCATCTTGCTCTCTCTGCTCTGAGTTCATCTTCAGCTTGAATGCCTGAGCACTAACTTGATAGTTGGAGCTTTCACGCTKGGGCTTACAATCCGGGCACTCTGACATCATCTCCTTTGCAGTCTTAAGTTAAGCATCCGGGCATATTGAGTGACATCAATATTAAAAAAAGCTTCGTAGAAAAGCCATTTTTGGGCTAAARCTTTTCAATTTTTTTTGTTTTTTTACCAAACATTATTTGTAGACTGTAGTCTATGTGAGTGGGGTCCATCTCATAAAGCCAAAAAGTACCGCTGAAAATTCTCCCAAACAGTCATTAAAATTGGAATCCGGATTTGCTCCTCAGAAACTCCTTACACCAACTTCACAGCACATAACGTAATTGTACGTTGTTATTCAGAGTTTACATTGACGTCCCACAATGCCTCACATCAGATGCACATCTCAGCATGTATTGGGAGCATCTCCCATAGTTGTCATTGGGAGATATTGCATCGCTGATATGTGCTGCTGTGGGGGCCATGAAACACACCTTATGGGTGCAAATGTAAATTTTGTCATTCATGTACAGTGAATGTGCTGTGAGGTTAGTGTGTGGAGTAAATTTCAATTCCTTGAATTGAGTTGCAGCTGCGAGAGATGTAAGGTGTATGTAAAGACCAAATTTGTGATGAATAAATCCACTTTCAACCCCAAAACCCAAAGCCACAAGAATTGGGATTTATTATTATTCCGATGTCAAAGCACATCCCACCAAGCATTAAGAACATCTCTCCATCAATAACAATATATGTTCATATTTATATGCTTTTATTCATTGGAGTAGGCTGTAAAAGCTTTAAGGACCAATTTTATGAAGAGGAAACCCAAAATTTTAAAATTGAAAGCACGAAACCACTATGTTTCCACGTGGGCCACATCTTAATTTTGAATGTACACCCATTAATGTCTCTCCCTCCATAACAATATGGATGGGATGTGTACCGACTAAAATTGGTCTTATATCTGGCTTAACCCGGTTCAAAATCCGGTCCATTTGCAGCTCCCTTCTGCTACCCASCCTTATTTTATGAATTCCGAAATCTGAACGTCACACATAAAAATTAAAATCAATACTCACAGGCTCACAGCAATTATACATTGATTGCGATGACACAAACCTCTCGCTATCTACATTCAAAAACCAGTAGACAGTAAACTTGGAAAACAAAAAAAAAAAATCCACGTCCTGCAATTACAAATTTACTCTTGCTCGTTCAAATCTCCACGCAGCAACCTGATTGAACAAAGCCTGAAAACCCAGTAGGAACATCGATCTTTTCCAATTTACCATTCTGCCCTTCCTTCATCCCCACCAGGAAGACCCCCTGAGGTGCGCCCAGATACGCCGATCCGGTCACCAGAGTCTGCTCGCCCAACCCCACTGCGCACGCTCCAACACGAACAACCGATTCGGAGTCGGCCCAGCAAACCAACTCTTCCTCTTTGCCCACCCCAACGCACGCCCTCGGGCACCGACCTGCCGCCCACGCTCCCTCCACTCGCCGCCACTGATCCGTTTCCATTTCGTAACACTCAGCGCTTACCTCGAAAACCCCTTGGTTCTCCGTGCTGTAGCCGCTCACGACCCAGAACTCGTTCCCGATCACCACGCCTTCGCATTCATCGCGTTCCTGCGTCATCTCACTTATCTCCTCCCATTCGTCCCGCCTCACGTCGTACACCCACGCCGACTTCAACGCGGTCTTATTCTCGTCGTGTCCGCCCGCGACAAAGATTCTCTCCTCCAACGCGCCGGTGGCAAAGAACGACCTTTTCGAGGGCATGTCCTTGCCTCGTCTCCATTGCCCGGCTGTGAAATCGTATATGAAAACGTCTTTCACTGGTTCCCACCTCGCCGGGTTCCATCCACCCATGAGGACGAGTTTCCCCTCCACGCTCGACAACTGGCAGAATAATGGGAGACCAAGTGGGTAGTCAGGGACTGGCTCGAGTCGTTCCCAAGTCCCACCGCTCGGGTTGAAGACGGAGACTCCGTAAGCCGGCGCTCCAACTGGTTTCCGCCCATCCACGGCGGTTTCGACCGGGAGTGACTGAATTAAGCAAGCCACCTTGTGGGTATTTCCCGATTGCTTTCTCTGGTAGTAGAATTCTCGGCTGTCGATCAACTCTCGCCATCGCCGGCAGACTCTTGCGGCAACTCGGTGTGCCTTGTAGGATAACCGAAACAAGCACTCGAGACCGATTTCTTCAGGTAGATTCGGAATCAGCTCCATCATTGCTTCACTCATTTTTTGATTTTTTCCCCTCCTGTGTCTACAGGTACAGCTCTTTTTCTTCTTTTTTTTCGCTCTTCACCCTTTTGCAGTTTGGGATTGGGGAATTCTTAACGAGGTATTTATACACACACTTGGGGATCAGTTCAGTGTTCGAGTGGCCACAGTTGTACTTTGCCACGTGTCACAACGGAAGAAGCTTTTTTCGCTAAACCGTTTTTGTTCCCGTTGAATGGAGTAACTATTTCAAGTATCGAGGTTACAAGGTTGAGAAATGAGAAATGTGAGTGGAGCTTCAGGTTGACTGGTTGTTTGAGAGGATAAGCGTCTCCAGGTCAGATGTCATGTGCTAGGCATCTCATGTGGGTCCTACACATCACGTGGTTTCCTCTGAATGACCAAGTTCATTTAATTGTGGCCAACTGGTTGGAGAGAGGAGAGAGGAGAGAGAGAGAGAGAGAGGGGGGGGGGGTTTAATGAGTTTGGAAATTCTTTGCAGCGTTATCCATCCTTGGCTCCAAGGTTGAACCGACCGTTGAACAGTGAAAGCAACGAAGGTCCCACCCGAACTGCAAAAAGGTCACGGAGTGGACAAAGTTGTGGGTTCACATTGTTTTGGGTTCTGGATTTCAACAGGAGGCATTGAATTTGGCGCGGAGTCGAGGAGCTGATGCCACCCAGCGAGGAAATTTGTGACCGACCCGATACATATTCGGGTCAATTGGGTGATGTTTCTTGGGTGTAGTTATGTCAGGAGTCAGGACCTGAGACCTGAAGCTGTCCAAATTGATTTATTGCTTTCCATACACAGCCATGACTTTATTTTTCAACCCTCTGATTTGTTTCGATACAAATGGCAAGGAACAAAAGTTTTATGCATAAGGTGCTGTTTGTCAATTCTTTTTAAGAATATATTTTATAATCAAATAATCAAAAACTGCAATGAACTTTTGGGGTCTTGTCTTTTAAGTTTAAGACCCTTTTTGGTGAGTATCTTAATCTATTATGGTTTATTAAACTGTTAAATGAAATTTTTAGGTGTGAAAAGATGAAAAGCTTATTTGAAGTACCTGATTTCCGGTCAGTTGGTCTTTTTAGCTTTTGTTTTTCAGGTCCTGATTGTTTGTCGGTATTTCGTAGGGGATAAGCTGTGTATCAATAGCGGTCTCTTTCGCCTGTTTCTCTCTTTACCCAAGTTATATCATACAAGAACGCTAGAACCAAACTTATTCGATCAACTTTTGATCGAAAAATACTTGTTTAGACTTCAGATAAACTCATTTGTCCTAGTAAGTGAAAACAAACAGGGTATCATTTCCAAATGAAAAAAAAAAAAAAATCAAATTATGGCATTCCAGATCTTTGAAAAACCTAAAAGATCGTGGAAAAAGATTTACCAAACACCCCCTTAAAAAAAGTACAGCCCAAAATGATATATACCCTGAAATTTGCTTTATCCATTTCATATAAAACAAACGGATCCTACAAAACCCGGTTCAAAAACTCTTGAGAAACCTGGTTTGTTGTTTGGAACCTTCGGGGATTGAGGGAATTGGAGACAATTATTGCTCCAATCCAATACATGGACGAAAATAAAACCGGAGTCTAGGAGAGTGTAAAATAAAATCCTTCCAAGGGGCGGTGGGCGGCCATATTAGACAAAAATGGATACGGATCGGGCCGGAGATTATGTGTGGTCCCACTCTATTTTTGGTGCCATTAGTTTCATATAAATACTGGAATTGAGGCCAGCGGATTTGGATGGAAAGGTAGTAGAATTGAAGCAATACATACATGAAAAAGACTTAATTGATTCATTATCCTTCCCTTTTTCCTTTTTCTAGATATAATATAGGTAAATTACATATACCATTCCTAGGCCTAAGTTCATTTCTCCATCAAAGTCAGAAGATTGAATGTTTTCAAAGTCTCTGTCTCTTCCTCACATCAACTATGCACAAGAGCATGTGATTGCTTACCTTTACATTATAATATATTCTTGAATTATGATATTACAAAATAATGTATTATATTTTTACTATTAGTTTTGGAGAAAAGATTCAAAATACATTTTAAATTTTGTTTAATAAAAATTACGATCTTCTACAAATATGTTGAAAAACAAAGAAAACATGTTAATTTCTACGAATACAAGGAAGCGATAGCCATTTGTTCCGCAGAGCTGGACCATAGATTAAATTTTTGACCGATTCTATTGAACTAGTCGTGGTATGATCCTTCGATTTGCATCAAGGCGAAAAATATAAAATTGATAAAACAACATTTTTTCCTTTTAATACTTGCCACTGATCTAAGTTTACTATGAATGTTTATTTATGATAAATCATGCATGCTAATATTTTATAACAATCTTGTTTATTGGATCATACTTGGTTTAATATATATATATATATATATATATATATATATATATACATTCACATTTTGGTTATCAAAGTCAGTTTATCTAAGATTATTTTAACAAGTAGCCTCTTTTCTTCCCTTTTTGGTGATGATATGGCTCCAACTCTTCTAGAAGAATAGATAACCTTATCAACAAGTAGTACTGTACAAGTAAATTATTGAAGACATGGAGTACCTTCTTCCAAACCATTCTTCTCTTGGGGAATTCCAAATACCTCCAAGTTGGCATTTTTTTAAGCCAAACCACAAATTGACTTTGAGTGGAAAGAATTGACCCATTTTATATTATTTGTTTTCATTTCATTTTTTTATTTTAACTTTTGCTTCCCCCGAAAGCCTATGACCTATCAAAATTATTAAAGGTTTAGTTTGAGTTTGATTCTCCTGTGACCATCGAAACACGCTTCTCATATAACCACAAAGGCACAAATAGAAAACCAACGATCAAGGGGGTGAAATCAATGACTTGTCTTTTAATATATGAAAATAGTCAGTCATATAATAAGGTAATAGTTAGGCGTAGATAATTAAATAAACAAGCCATTCATTCAGCAGCTGATAACTTATTTAGGCTTAATTTGAAAACAGTAGTACAATCCAAATACATACAAACAAAATAATAGAAAATATAAGGTTTTGCCTTGTGCCTGTACTCCTTCCAAACTGAGTTTTAATGATTTATTCATTCAAAAACAAAGCAACAAGTTCATTCAGAACTGCCAGTTCAGCTGTTATCAAATGAATTCTCAGATGAATTGTTGGTTACATGGTGACCTTATCACAGAGCCTGTAGTTATGTGGGTTTGATCACGCACCTCCATTTTGATGAAGAGATTGCAAGCTGGTGGGGCCACAAGTCTTACTGTCCGAGTTGAAGAATTTTAATTTGACAAATTTCCAATCCAACTTGAAAAGAAGAAGAACCCATTAGGAATAACATTATCCTGAAATTATGGATCCAAATGGAGTGGGCCATAGTAGCCACTTACTGGTCAAACATGGATTTGGATCAGAAGGAAAAATTAGGTCTAGACTCTAGTCGAGCTCAATTATTTTGGTGCCCTTGGTTTCATATTCCAGATTGACRGTGGAATTTAGTTACAAGCGGATTTGAACCGGAAGCTAGCGAAAGGGACATAAGATGAGAGAAGTCATCTTTGTGTTTGAGAGCAGTCATCTTTGTGCAGAAAATGTCCAAGGCTAGGTTCATATCTTGTCCATTCCTCCCAAGACTGGAATCTAATATTGAGCAATTTCCCTTTTAGGTTTTGATGATGCGCGATCTGGTCGATCTTACTGTCAACGACCTTGCCTCTGAACTGGGTAGCAGAGAACTTGAAACGGAGGAGATGAGGAAGCTTCGGGAGGAACCCGGTGTAAAGGCTCCGAAGCTTAAGTTAGAATCCTTCAAAGGCAAGGTAAAACCAGATAGTGCAAAGTTTGCATACCTCCTCTTTGGGGGTGGAGAGCCTTTTATAACCACCTCG